ATGGCGAGTAACGAGTGCTGTGTGTATGGCGAGTAACCAGTACTGTGTGTATATGGCGAGTGGCCAGTACTGTGTGTATATGGCGAGTAATGGATGTTGCGTGTATGGCAAGTAACGAGTGTTGTGTGTATGGCGAGTAACCAGTACTCTGTGTATATAGCGAGTAATGGATGTTGCGTGTATGGCGAGGAACGAGTGTTGTGTGTATGGCGAGTAATGAGTTTTGCATGTATGGCAAGTAACGAGTGTTGTGTGTATGGCGAGGAACGAGTGTTGTGGGTATGGCGAGTTATGAGTTTTGCATGTATGGCGAGTAACGAGTGTTGCATGTATGGCGAGTAACAAGTGTTGCGTGTATAGCGAGTAATGACTGTCGTGTGTATGGCGAGTAACGAGTGTTGTGTGTATGACGAGTAACGAATGTTGTGTGTATGACGAGTAATGACTGTCGTGTGTATGAGTGTATTGTGTGTATGGCGAGTAACGAGTGTTGTGTGTATAGCGAGTAACGAGTATTGTGTGTATGACGAGTAATGAGTGTTGTGTGTATGGCGAGTAACGAGTGTTGTGTGTATGGCGAGTAACGAGTGTTGTGTGTATGACGAGTTATGACTGTCGTGTGTATGGCGAGTAATGAGTGTATTGTGTGTATGACGAGTAATGACTGTCGTGTGTATGGCGAGTAATGATTTTTGTGTGTATGGTGAGTGATGACTGTTGTGTGTATGGCGAGTAATGACTGTCGTGTGTATGGTGAGTGATGACTGTTGTGTGTATGGCGAGTAATGAGTTTTGCCTATTTGGCGAGTAATGAGTGTTGTATGTATGGCGAGTAAGGAGTGTTGTGTGTATGGCCAGTATCAAGTGTTGTGTATATGGCGAGGAACGAATGTTGTGTGTATGGCGAGGAACGAGTGTTGTGTGTATGGCGAGTAACCAATACTTTGTGTATATAGCGAGTCACGAGTGTTGTGTATATGGCGAGGAACGAGTGTTGTGTGTATGGCGAGTAATGAGTTTTGCATGTATGGCAAGTAACGAGTGTTGTGTGTATGGCGAGGAACGAGTGTTGTGTGTATGGCGAGTTATGAGTTTTGCATGTATGGCGAGTAACGAGTGTTGCATGTATGGCGAGTAACAAGTGTTGCGTGTATAGCGAGTAATGACTGTCGTGTGTATGGCGAGTAACGAGTGTTGTGTGTATGACGAGTAACGAATGTTGTGTGTATGACGAGTAATGACTGTCGTGTGTATGAGTGTATTGTGTGTATGGCGAGTAACGAGTGTTGTGTGTATAGCGAGTAACGAGTATTGTGTGTATGACGAGTAATGAGTGTTGTGTGTATGGCGAGTAACGAGTGTTGTGTGTATGGCGAGTAACGAGTGTTGTGTGTATGACGAGTTATGACTGTCGTGTGTATGGCGAGTAATGAGTGTATTGTGTGTATGACGAGTAATGACTGTCGTGTGTATGGCGAGTAATGATTTTTGTGTGTATGGTGAGTGATGACTGTTGTGTGTATGGCGAGTAATGACTGTCGTGTGTATGGTGAGTGATGACTGTTGTGTGTATGGCGAGTAATGAGTTTTGCCTATTTGGCGAGTAATGAGTGTTGTATGTATGGCGAGTAAGGAGTGTTGTGTGTATGGCCAGTATCAAGTGTTGTGTATATGGCGAGGAACGAATGTTGTGTGTATGGCGAGGAACGAGTGTTGTGTGTATGGCGAGTAACCAATACTTTGTGTATATAGCGAGTCACGAGTGTTGTGTATATGGCGAGGAACGAGTGTTGTGTGTATGGCGAGTAATGAGTTTTGCATGTATGGCAAGTAACGAGTGTTGTGTGTATGGCGAGGAACGAGTGTTGTGTGTATGGCGAGTTATGAGTTTTGCATGTATGGCGAGTAACGAGTGTTGCATGTATGGCGAGTAACAAGTGTTGCGTGTATAGCGAGTAATGACTGTCGTGTGTATGGCGAGTAACGAGTGTTGTGTGTATGACGAGTAATGCCTGTCGTGTGTATGGCGAGTAATGAGTGTTGTGTGTATGACGAGTAACGAATGTTGTGTGTATGACGAGTAATGACTGTCGTGTGTATGAGTGTATTGTGTGTATGGCGAGTAACGAGTGTTGTGTGTATAGCGAGTAACGAGTATTGTGTGTATGACGAGTAATGAGTGTTGTGTGTATGGCGAGTAACGAGTGTTGTGTGTATGGCGAGTAACGAGTGTTGTGTGTATGACGAGTTATGACTGTCGTGTGTATGGCGAGTAATGAGTGTATTGTGTGTATGACGAGTAATGACTGTCGTGTGTATGGCGAGTAATGATTTTTGTGTTTATGGCGAGTAACGAGTGTTGTGTGTATGACGAGTAATGACTGTCGTGTGTATGGTGAGTGATGACTGTTGTGTGTATGGCGAGTAATGAGTTTTGCCTATTTGGTGAGTAATGAGTGTTGCGTGTATGGCGAGGAACGAGTGTTGTGTGTATGGCGAGTTATGAGTTTTGCATGTATGGCGAGTAACGAGTGTTGCATGTATGGCGAGTAACAAGTGTTGCGTGTATAGCGAGTAATGACTGTCGTGTGTAAGGCGAGTAACGAGTGTTGTGTGTATGACGAGTAACGAATGTTGTGTGTATGGCGAGTAATGACTGTCGTGTGTATGAGTGTATTGTGTGTATGGCGAGTAACGAGTGTTGTGTGTATAGCGAGTAACGAGTATTGTGTGTATGACGAGTAATGAGTGTTGTGTGTATGGCGAGTAACGAGTGTTGTGTGTATGGCGAGTAACGAGTGTTGTGTGTATGACGAGTTATGACTGTCGTGTGTATGGCGAGTAATGAGTGTATTGTGTGTATGACGAGTAATGACTGTCGTGTGTATGGCGAGTAATGATTTTTGTGTGTATGGTGAGTGATGACTGTTGTGTGTATGGCGAGTAATGACTGTCGTGTGTATGGTGAGTGATGACTGTTGTGTGTATGGCGAGTAATGAGTTTTGCCTATTTGGCGAGTAATGAGTGTTGTATGTATGGCGAGTAAGGAGTGTTGTGTGTATGGCCAGTATCAAGTGTTGTGTATATGGCGAGGAACGAATGTTGTGTGTATGGCGAGGAACGAGTGTTGTGTGTATGGCGAGTAACCAATACTTTGTGTATATAGCGAGTCACGAGTGTTGTGTATATGGCGAGGAACGAGTGTTGTGTGTATGGCGAGTAATGAGTTTTGCATGTATGGCAAGTAACGAGTGTTGTGTGTATGGCGAGGAACGAGTGTTGTGTGTATGGCGAGTTATGAGTTTTGCATGTATGGCGAGTAACGAGTGTTGCATGTATGGCGAGTAACAAGTGTTGCGTGTATAGCGAGTAATGACTGTCGTGTGTATGGCGAGTAACGAGTGTTGTGTGTATGACAAATAATGCCTGTCGTGTGTATGGCGAGTAATGAGTGTTGTGTGTATGACGAGTAACGAATGTTGTGTGTATGACGAGTAATGACTGTCGTGTGTATGAGTGTATTGTGTGTATGGCGAGTAACGAGTGTTGTGTGTATAGCGAGTAACGAGTATTGTGTGTATGACGAGTAATGAGTGTTGTGTGTATGGCGAGTAACGAGTGTTGTGTGTATGGCGAGTAACGAGTGTTGTGTGTATGACGAGTTATGACTGTCGTGTGTATGGCGAGTAATGAGTGTATTGTGTGTATGACGAGTAATGACTGTCGTGTGTATGGCGAGTAATGATTTTTGTGTGTATGGTGAGTGATGACTGTTGTGTGTATGGCGAGTAATGACTGTCGTGTGTATGGTGAGTGATGACTGTTGTGTGTATGGCGAGTAATGAGTTTTGCCTATTTGGCGAGTAATGAGTGTTGTATGTATGGCGAGTAAGGAGTGTTGTGTGTATGGCCAGTATCAAGTGTTGTGTATATGGCGAGGAACGAATGTTGTGTGTATGGCGAGGAACGAGTGTTGTGTGTATGGCGAGTAACCAATACTTTGTGTATATAGCGAGTCACGAGTGTTGTGTATATGGCGAGGAACGAGTGTTGTGTGTATGGCGAGTAATGAGTTTTGCATGTATGGCAAGTAACGAGTGTTGTGTGTATGGCGAGGAACGAGTGTTGTGTGTATGGCGAGTTATGAGTTTTGCATGTATGGCGAGTAACGAGTGTTGCATGTATGGCGAGTAACAAGTGTTGCGTGTATAGCGAGTAATGACTGTCGTGTGTATGGCGAGTAACGAGTGTTGTGTGTATGACGAGTAATGCCTGTCGTGTGTATGGCGAGTAATGAGTGTTGTGTGTATGACGAGTAACGAATGTTGTGTGTATGACGAGTAATGACTGTCGTGTGTATGAGTGTATTGTGTGTATGGCGAGTAACGAGTGTTGTGTGTATAGCGAGTAACGAGTATTGTGTGTATGACGAGTAATGAGTGTTGTGTGTATGGCGAGTAACGAGTGTTGTGTGTATGGCGAGTAACGAGTGTTGTGTGTATGACGAGTTATGACTGTCGTGTGTATGGCGAGTAATGAGTGTATTGTGTGTATGAAGAGTAATGACTGTCGTGTGTATGGCGAGTAATGATTTTTGTGTTCATGGCGAGTAACGAGTGTTGTGTGTATGACGAGTAATGACTGTCGTGTGTATGGTGAGTGATGACTGTTGTGTGTATGGCGAGTAATGAGTTTTGCCTATTTGGTGAGTAATGAGTGTTGCGTGAATGGCGAGTACCGAGTGCTGTGTGTATGACGAGTAACGCGTGTTGTGTGTATTGCGAGTAATGGATTTTGTATGTATGGCTAGTAATGAGTTTTGCCTATATGGCGAGTAATGAGTGTTGCGTGTATGGCGAGTAACGAGTGTTGTGTGTATGGCAAGTAATGGGTGTTTAAAAAGGATGTGCAGGGGTTTTGAGCGTTATGAAATTGAGATATAAACCCTGGATAATCGAGGATGTTAAACTGTCTCATCACCCCGTGTTGTTTCTTTCAGACGGGTCACGCAATCAATATGGCGGACAAGATGACGGAGGCGGAGCTCAATGAGTACGTGTCGACCTTCGAGGAGACGCTGCAACGCTTCACGGGACTCTCATCAGAGGAGATCTGGGAGCTTCAGCGTATCCTGTTGCGGCGCGTGAGATTCAAGGTATCTGAGACTCTGTCACCGGAAGGGAAAGCTGCCATGAAGCAAGTGAAGCAGGACATGCTGGAGTTTGCCACGAAGAAGCGGGTGTCCTCAGCTACCCTCGTTACTGAAGTGTTCGACCTCGGCAGCAAACAGACAGAGGACACTCCACGGAAGAAGGAGAAATCGGACATTGTACTTGTTGTAGCAGACGACACTGAGATGGCAGCAGACGATACTAACAAAGCAACAGATAAGGCAGCAGACGATACCAACAAAGCAACAGATGATAAGGCAGCAGATACTACGGATTCCACACCAGTGGAAACGATGGTTGATGAAGAAACCAAAGAAGACATCAATGCTAAAGAGACAGAGAAGAATCGTAAAGCAGCAGATGGTTCTGTCAAAGAGGCAGACGAAAATACCAAACAGGTCAAAGAAAGCATTGATCAAATTGCTAATGATGAAAGTGGACCGAAGGATGCACCCACAGATAGTGTGAGAGAAGGTTCCATGAGTTCAAACCAGGACACCCAGCCCCAGCTTGGCCCTGAAGAGAATGGCGGCAGTGAAACGGTTGCAGAAAGAGGAGAAACCAGCTCTGGGGTACCTCAAACAGGCATAGGGAACGATGTTGACTCTCCAAGTGATGTGACTGGTTCTTCTAATGTTGAAAGTGAGTCCCACGAAGGTCAAAGTCAAGGTCAAGAACGAAAGGGCAGCCAGGACACGAACAATGAACAGTCGTCACAATCTGCTGAGAAGTCGGAGACAGAGACGCCCACTTCTTTACCCTCTTGAACTTTGGAGTATTTAAAATTTGTGATGGATGGTCAAATTCGTCCTATGTATTGTGATCTGCAGTGGGCGCGGGTCGCAGCAGAACTGTTCTTACAGATACGAAAACTTTAATTGTGAAAGACCTATACTGTCTCATCTGGTTACCATGGCAATCTCGCCTTCCGGGAGAAATTGTTTCATCTTTGAGATTCATTATTGTGGACGCACATAATCACGCCTGTTTTGTAATCAGTAGTTAGACTTTACATTATTGAATGCACATTTAAATATGGCAATAGTTCATTGATGTTTATAAATTAACAAGTTTAATCTGGACAATTTTGTTAGCAAACATGCCCCCGGAGTATCGAGAGTTGCATGAATACATGTACACAGTCACATCTAGCTATAGTATAAACTTTGTTATACACTGAGTATAGTCAGTCAATCCTGCACTAAATATATCCTAATATTTATTCTAGAGCAAATGTGATTATGATTGATAACTACAATATGTCCAAAATATGGCAGTATATATCATGTAGCAAATGTACACGTCGATGGTTACTCTGTATATAAGTTAGCTGAGCCACAGTTTTGAGATTCGTGACTGTCCAGATAAGATAATTAAACAAATGAAGCATCTCACATGTAAGTGGGCTAACTTCATGTACATGTGTGTCCCATGCATGCATGAGATCACCGTATGTTGCCCTTCTGACACATGTTACTTTCTGTGAAAAATATCACTTCCCAAGGAACATTTTACCTTTTCTACAAATGTTTTCTTCTGGGTAAATGTAATTTTATCTTTCTTGGAAAATATTACCTTTCTGAAAAAGATATTTCCTTTCAAGGAATATGTTACCTTTCTGGAAACGGTACATTAGAAATATGATGACCGACCATCAACGTTCATGAGATTTCCAAGAGAATTTGCATCGTGGCAACATGTTTATGTATCTAATGCTGTGTAGTATTGTAACATCAGAAGATACATCGCACGATACGACTGTTAGACATAAGAATATATCGAGATAAGGCAATATGGGTGAGATATATAACATAATTTGTTTAAGTTTAAGAAGTATCGTGACGTCAACGATAACATGACGCCATCAAAGAATGCCCGTCCAGTTGTTTACGTCATACTGTTTCTGTCTATGTGAAATCATATACCATACGTTATGTATAAATAATAAATACACATATTTACCCAATCTGCGTGCTTTACTGTAAGCTGTTGAAGCAACGAACAATCTGACAATCGATCCCTAATCTACTGATATCACACGACGAGCTTGAGATACTGGGGACCTATCCTGACCCAAAGTCTTCACAAGGAGACAAACATTGGGTACTGAGGACCTAGTAAGACCCAGAATACACAGATGGAGACAAGTATGAGGTACTGGGGACCTAGTTAGATCCAGAATACACAGATGGAGACAAGTATGAGGTTCTGGGGACCTAGTTAGACCCAGAATACACAGATGGAGACAAGTATGAGGTACTGGGGACCTAGTTAGATCCAGAATACACAGATGGAGACAAGTATGAGGTTCTGGGGACCTAGTTAGACCCAGAATACACAGATGGAGACAAGTATGAGGTACTGGGGACCTAGTTAGACCCAGAATACACAGATGGAGACAAAAATGAGGTACTGGGGACCTAGTTAGACCCAGAATACACAGATGGAGGCAAATATGAGGTACTGGGGACCTAGTTAGATCCAGAATACACAGATGGAGACAAATATGAGGTACTGGGGACCTAGTTAGACCCAGAATACACAGATGGAGACAAGTATGAGGTACTGGGGACCTAGTTAGACCCAGAATACACAGATGGAGGCAAGTATGAGGTACTGGGGACCTCCTTAGACCCAGAATACTCAGATGGAGACAAGTATGAGGTACTGGGGACCAGGTTAGACCCAGAATACACAGATGGAGACATGTATGAGGTACTGGGGACCTAGTTAGACCCAGAATACACAGAGATATACATAGAGAAACAATCACGGGGTACTGGGGACCTATCCTGACACAGGATATACATAGAGAGACAATCACGGGGTACTGGGGACCCACCCTGACGCAGAATACACAGATGGAGACATACATGCTCATGAGGTACTGGAGACCTATCCTGACCAAGGATATACATAGAGAGACATACATGAGGTACACAGATGGAGACAATCATGGGGTATTGGGGTCCTATTCTGACCTGGAATTCCACAGAAGACAAGACTAAGGTACTGTGGATGTATTCTGGGTTTGGTACTTTACGCAATGATAGCGGTGAGGGGCGGAATTCAATGTCAAGTGGTCTGGGTGCCGTTGTACGAAGCGATCTTTGCACTAAGGGTGTTTTGTACAACGACACCCAGGAATAGAAATTAGGGTAGCATCTCTGAAATCCCAATGTGATTTTAAACGAGAAATAAATCATAAGTAAAGCTGTATGGAGGCTGGCTTGCATCAAACGATCAGTTTCATGAAAAATATCTTTAAAGTGTTAACACAAAAAAGACCAAAGTTATTGTATTTATAAAGGGCGGTATGTTATCAAAAAAGGGAGAAATTGTTATACAAAGACAGTTATCTGGACGTAGTAACAAGCTATAAATATTTGGGAGTACATTTTCTATTTAATTATCTTGGGAGTTTCATTCAACACAGAATGCAAAGAAAATTCTCTATGGGCTACTAAAACGTCTCAGATGTACTGAGGGTGTAAATTGTAATCTATTTTAAAAATATTGACACATAAATAAAGCCAACTCTACTATATGGGGCTGAGGTTTGGGGCGCACATCAGCTAGAATTGATGGAAAGGGTGCACAAATTAAAGTCATAAAGTACCGGTTAAGGTTTTTAAGGATGCCAAATGACAGGAACCCAAGAAAGTGTTATGAAATGATGGCATTGTATGACAAAAATAGAAACCAAAACTTGGTTTCTTCTGTTAATAAGCTCATTAATGATTTAGGCTTAGGTTATGCTTGCCAAAGACAAAAAGTAGATTGTCCTGAAGATTTCTGAAGACACGTACATACAACAGTGGTATTGTTTGTTAGCTTTATAGTCAAAATGTCAGTACTTTAGTTTGTTTAAAACACATGTTACAACCGCAGAATATCTTTTTAAACCACTCTTGTACAAATATAGATTTGAATTTTCTAGATTCAGATGCTGCGCCCTCATGGTTTATTCTTCTTGCAGCGTTTAATTGCACGATAAACATCTCCCACTCGTCGTTTATTTCTTAAATATGATATCACAATCATGTCTTCGCCTGTTCATGTCACATCCGTTGGTAAATCGATAAGTTCCTCACTTAGAAGATCGTTCTGAATAAAAATTGTTCACACGTTCTGTTTTCAATACGATATAATATAAACTCCCTGAATCTATTCAATACAAACTATCTGAAACGATACAATATAAACTCCCTTAAACGATACAATATAAACTCCCTGAATCTATTCAATACAAACTATCTGAAACGATACAATATAAACTCCCTTAAACGATACAATATAAACTCCCTGAATCTATTCAATACAAACTATCTGAAACGATACAATATAAACTCCCTGAATCGATACAATATAAACTCCCTGAATCTATACAATACAAACTCTCTGACACGATACAATATAAACTCCCTGAATCGATACATTATAAACTCCCTGAATTGATACAATACAAACTCTCTGAAACGATACAATACAAACTCCCTGACACGATACAATATAAACTCCCTGAAACGATACAATACAAACTCCCTGAAACGATACAATATAAACTCCCTGAAACGATACAATATAAACTCTCTGAAACGATACAATATAAACTCCCTGAAACGATACAATACAAACTCCCTGACACGATACAATATAAACTCCCTGAATCGATACATTATAAACTCCCTGAATCGATACAATACAAACTCCCTGAAACGATACAATATAAACTCTCTGAAACGATACAATATAAAGTCCCTGAAACGATACAATATAAACTCCCTGAAACGATACAATACAAACTCCCTGAAACGATACAATATAAACTCCCTGACACGATACAATATTAACTCACTGACACGATACAATATAAACTCCCTGACACGATACATTATAAACTCCCTGAATTGATACAATACAAACTCCCTGAACCGATACAATACAAACTCCCTGAAACGATACAATATAAACCCCCTGAAACGATACAATATAAACTCCCTGACACGATACAATATAAACTCCCTGAAACGATACAATACAAACCCCCTGACACGATACAATATAAACTCCCTGAAACGATACAATACAAACTCCCTGAAACGATACAATATAAACTCTCTGAAACGATACAATACAAACTCCCTGAATCGATACAATATAAGCTCTCTGAAACGATACAATATAAACTCTCTGAAACGATACATTATAAACTCCCTGAATCGATACAATACAAACTCCCGGAAACGATACAATACAAACTCTCTGAAACGATACAATACAAACTCCCTGAAACGATACATTATAAACTCCCTGAATCGATACAATACAAACTCTCTGAAACGATACAATACAAACTCTCTGAAACGATACAATATAAGCTCTCTGAAACGATATAATATAAACTCTCTGAAACGATACAATACAAACTCCCTGAATCGATACAATACAAACTCTCTGAAACGATATAATATAAACTCTCTGAAACGATACAATACAAACTCTCTGAATCGATACAATACAAACTCCCTGAAACGATACAATATAAACTCTCTGAAACGATACAATACAAACTCTCTGAAACGATACAATACAAACTCTCTGAATCGATACAATACAAACTCTCTGAAACGATACAATACAAACTCTCTGAAACGATACAATACAAACTCCCTGAATCGATACAATACAAACTCTCAGAAACGATATAATATAAACTCTCTGAAACGATACAATACAAACTCTCTGAATCGATACAATACAAACTCTCTGAAACGATACAATACAAACTCTCTGAAACGATACAATATAAACTCTCTGAAACGATACAATACAAACTCTCTGAATCGATACAATACAAACTCCCTGAAACGATACAATATAAACTCTCTGAAACGATACAATACAAACTCTCTGAAACGATACAATACAAACTCTCTGAATCGATACAATACAAACTCTCTGAAACGATACAATACAAACTCTCTGAAACGATACAATACAAACTCCCTGAATCGATACAATACAAACTCTCAGAAACGATATAATATAAACTCTCTGAAACGATACAATACAAACTCCCTGAATCGATACAATACAAACTCCCTGAATCGATACAATATAAACTCCCTGAATCGATACTATCGAGCGATGCTTCAGCCATGATCCCTGCGCACAACAGAAGTCTTCACCTTGAGATAGAGGTAACACCATCAGGGAGGCTGGTCAGGCGAGTACGGGGTACAGTTGCAGCCACTGCACTGAAACGTGCTGAAAAAAGGAGTTCACCTGAACAGGTTTTCCCTCGACGTTTTTTCTTCATAGCGTCTCTCAACTGACGCGGCATAGTATTGTCTGACCTCGTTGCAGATAGTCAATGATGATTATCTCTGTCCTCGAAAACTGTAGCCAAGACTTTGTCCATTGACGCTACCGTGTTTCTTTGGTGGCTGTACATGTGTTGCAAATGTTTCCACTATTTGCTTCGTGGTTTTGAATCTTAATCAAAGCGATAAACCCAGGTCCCACCCTTAGCGGCAATTCGCATACTCTCCAAAACTAGAAACGCCAAAGTGATGTATATGTTATATATCATACAAATAATCAACAGATGTAAGCGATCGTTCAAAATTTGTAAACGTCATTGTCATAGACCCAGGTTACACATGACACACATGGAACAGTGAAAGGTGAAGGTCATCTGTTCTCAATATCTTGTATAGCCATCATTAGAGTCCAAAACTGACATGCATCGTCGTCCTGTTGACGCAATCAGATCCCGAATTGTGGCCTTGGGAATGTTCACCCACTCTGCCTGCAGTGCTTGTGCCAACTGTCGGAGGTTCTGTGGTTGTTGCTGATGAGCTCTCTTGGGATACAATCTGGAGACCTGGAGGGCCATGGCAGGACCTGGATGTTGTAATTCCTAAAAAGGTCTGCTGTCAATCTTGCCACCGGAGGCAAGGC